AACAACAACTTTATTTTCTACAAGATAAGCGTTGATGTAAGTGCCTTAAAAAATAAAATAAAATGCATATTTGAACGTGCTTGAAAAAAAAAATTCAAATGTACTATTAGCATATTAGGCCAGAGTGGTGTATCCACTAGGAACGCATCCATATAAAAATCTTAGCTGGTATTAATTTTGCCGCAATGATCACATTTACCTATCAGACCGATATGCTTGAAAATGACCAATATTAGCTAATGCCTATGTAGAGCTAATTATTTTTTGCTAACAAATAACTATGTTTTTATTTTTTGTGGATAATCTAGTTAGGTTTATTGTTTGATATTTCTTTTGAGATTCTGTTTTTGGTTATTTAGTTATGTTTCTTTGTTTCTGGTTAGTTATGAGCAATTTAGGTGAATTAAGTTTATAAATAGGCTGTCAATGGTAGGATCAGCATGCAGCTGGGTGGGCTTATGGTTTTTACCAGCACAACAGAAGCACGGAGGAAATGTTTGTCCTTTTCTGTTTGCTTGCTTAAGGAGAAGTAAAGCACAAAACTAAAGGATTTTACCTGGAAAATTGTTTTCATTTTGCCTGCATAACTTACTTGTCCTTGGTGCATCTGTGGCCCTTGTGGATTTTTTTGTGTTGTCAAAGCTATGCCACAACATCGGTAAAAAACAAACAAAAAAAAACATACGCCCAGCCAGATGCAGGAGAGACAACAGTGGACTGGACTTAAAAGATGTCTTGCTCCTGGGGACATTGTTCTGTCATATTAATGCCGACATATCGTTAATTCTTGATATCTGCCGGGCCAAAAGAAGCTCGGAAGCCGAAAGAAGATTGGTCTGATTTAGAACATAAGCAGGAAGAAGAAACTGTTTGGTTCCTTTGAGTCAAACACTTAAGTTAGAGTTACATCTAGAACTGTTATAGAAAGAAATAAAAAAAATAGTAAAAGTAAAAATTAAAAATCGATCAGATGTAGGTTAGAAACAAACTGATATATTTTGATAATCTTTTCTGCCACTGAGAGCCTGGCATATTATTCCTTAGTTATCTACATGCTGAACTTTTATTAATGCTAATATCAGGGACCGGCTATAGATATTTTTCTCTGCATTTAGAGGATATAAAAAGAAGAGCCAAGCATCCAAATTTGCACAAGCAATATAAAAATGTGGTGTTTCAGGTGACTCACCAGTTCATTTGTGTGCTTGGACCAGGCCAGGTTGCAGACCTGAGAGCCGGTGTCGGTGCACTGCAGCGGCTGGCCGGTCAGAGTGTTCCAGAAGCGGATGCAGCGGTCAGCAGTGCCCCCTCCTGAGGCCAGCAGGCCATGCTGGTGAGGCGACCAGGCGATGGCCTTCACAGCAGCCAAGTGCTCAGTGTACTGCTGCACGGGCACCACACTCGAGTGATTCCACACAAGCAACTGTGGAAACATTGAAATGCTGGAAATAAGCTTGCTGTCCAAATGTGTCACTTTCAGAAAACAGGCAGGATCTTCTTTCTGCGCACCTTGTTATCGTTCCCCCCCGAGGCGAGAAGCTGATGGTCTGTGCTCCACTTGAGCCCACAGACTTCCTGTCTGTGCCCTTGGAGACGCCGCTCTGACTGCAGAGGTGGTGCTCTGATGTCCCGCTGCAGGATCACACGATCACGGCTTCCAGATGACAGCTGGTCCGCATTCCACGCCAAAGCACCTGGCAGCGAAAATACGAAAGGCAGGTCGAAGGGGAGGTGATTCATTCGGCAAGACACTGACAACAACTGCAAGGAAATATCCAAAGCTTCTAATAAATTCATCTTCACACCGTCTCCTCCTCCATCTGTCTGCCTGTTGACTCACCCACTCTGGCCGTGTGTCCCTCCAGCACAGAAAGCTTCTTCCCTGCTGCCGCATCCCAAATCTGGACGTAGCCCTTATGAGTACCCACCGCCACAAGGTTACCCTGAAGAACACAACACAACAGTCAACCAATGACCTCAAACATGTTTTTAGTCAGTTTGTCAAGGTTTGTGCTCAAACCTTTGTTCGGTTCACATTCTGATTGAAAAAAAAGAGAAATATAATTTTTTATGTAAATTGCAAACTGTGCTTACTGATGGATGCTCTGTAGTTGTAGATGTTCTGGTTTCAGGACATTTTTAACAAGAAAAACTCAGAATAGCTTAGGGAAGCAGAGCGGTAGTCGATTTCAATTATAAAGAGTAACAAAGTAGCTAAGATAAACAAACAAGACTTAAAGGCTAAATTGTCAGATTATAATCCAAATGTCAACAAAGTTTTGAGGGATTTTGTTCCTACTTTTCTCCCTCCTTTCTTTTTTGACAGATGTTCTGCAATTAATTTAAAATCTATTACAGATTTCCCATGACGTTTCAAAGCTTTTAGAGATATTTCAACCTGAAAACTAAGATATAACCTGAGCTTAACTGGTCGGGTTTAACAATGTTGCGTCCCATTCTGTAACCAGCTGTTCTGTTGCAGAGAACAAAACCTGAAACATCAGATATTATGTTTGCAACCATTAGCAAGTGAAACTGATCCCACTGTTTAAGTGAAGTTAACCTACTACAAGGTTACGCAGGCGTTATGATGCAACTCCTAATTTTATTACTTTTAAATCTGCTACTTCGCTTTAGCTGACTGGAAATGACACACAGAGAACAGTCTAGGAGTCATCACCTTTAGGTGTTTTTTAAAAGCTGTATTAAGCTCCATGGGTTTAGTGTTAGTAACAGTTTAATTTTTTTATGATAATATTTGGAGGAATATTTGACAGACTATATTAGTCAATCTTAACTTGACCAAATATGGTTGTGTAGATGGTGTTGATCTAGGCTATAAAATACACATCTTGTATTACACTTTGAAATTAAGGTAATTTCTAAATAATATGAAAATGTTAGTCTGCAAATGGAGCAATTCAAGGTTAGATTTCACTGTAATTATTGTATTTCCATTTTAGTCTGGTAACATGTTACATATAGATACATAAATAATAAGAATGTCACTATGTTGTCATGCTGGGGAAAACACTTTATACTTTATATCTGATGGATAGAAAATCCTTTAAATGTTACTTTCTGGAATGTAGGAATTGCAAATAGTTGACAGTAAAATAATAAAGGCGCTGATATCTGAGGGAAAATTTGTCCTTTAGAAACCCTAAAAAAGGAAGGTTAATTTGATTAAAATTCTTTTTTTATTTGTAGAAACCTCAACTTTTAATGTTTAGTGGAGTTTGTCCCTTTTTTAAAACATAAGTACAGAAAAACATACCCTCTCTGACCAGCCCACCGATGTAACTGAATCTCCTTCTACAGAAAGGTCACAGAGACGTGTCACCTAGAAAAACAGGAGCAGAAATTGTTCTTAATGTGAGTGACAGGAAAAAAAAAAAGAAAAACTAATATGAAAAGAAGTGGCACACACCTGGCTGGTGCAGGCGCTCCACAGGTAAACACAGGTCCCCAGTCCCACACTGAGCACATTCAGAGAGGACCAGTCCACCAGGTTGAGGTAGAAGTCATCCTGAAGCTCGGGAGCATCCAGAACTTTAAAGGGAATTTTGGAAATCTTGCGTGTAGGCTTTCTTGGTGACCGTAGCAATTTTTGGCTGCAAGACAAATTATAACAAGATAAGAGAAGATCCTAAGACTAAAGACTCCATAAATCAGGATCAGAGGGAACCCGAAAGGATTACCTGTTGCTACTGACAGGCGATAAAGAATACGGGGAAACTGTGTTTCCATCTTCTTCAGGTAGAGTCCTCTTCGTACTTACAGAATACTTTGAAACACACAGATAGGAATTAACTTTGGGAAATTCCAAGCTTAAATAAATATAAATTATAGTGGTTTTCTGTTTTACATTAAAAAGGCTTCTCTTGGCAGGAGTAGACGGCTGCAATCGGCGGTCCTCTGATTGGGGGTCTTGGACCTTCTCGATACCGGCCCCTAGCAGCTCGTTCTTTAGCAGAGCAGAGTAAGCTAGACCATCCGCTAAGGATAGAGAAACAGAGGAGAGGTGAAAACCCAAACCAGGCTGTCTAAAAATCAAACTTCCATGTACTGTGCTCCCTCTGTAATTTCTCCGCTGCTGCTCACATTTTAAAGGTCTGCAAGCATCAGGCAGCTGGGTTTAATACTGCAGCTCTTTTCTTTGGGGTTTCTCACATTCTTTAAATAAAAGAAAGTCCAGTTATGGAAACTGGACTTAAGAAGGAGGAAAAGTTTGAGGAAAAAAATTCTAAAAACCTAGATAAAATCAGCTCCAAATGCACAGCTACAATAAATTATCAAAAAATGTTGCGGTGTAACAAGGAAATCATTTTTGGAAAAAATGCTAACATTGAAATTAATAACCATTTAAGTTTGAATCTGCAGTGACTGACTGCCTAGTGATACAAAACATTCTCACTAATGTGGAAATAAAGCTAAACTTTGATTTACTGTATTGGGACAGGATGTAAATAACAAAAAAACAATTGTTTAATTCCTCCGCAACAAATGAGTAAGATGTTTATGGAAAAAAACGCTTCTCAGAGATTTTGTTTACTTGGTCATTAGGTTTGCAAATATCGCAGGAAGGATTTTGGCTCAGTATTCCAGAGAGAAATTCTCTAAATCCTTTATGTTTATTGGCTGTTGCTTGGCAACACAAAGCTTCAGCTTGCTAACAGATTGCTGGAGGACTGAGGTCTGAACACTGGCCAGGGTGCTCCATGACATTATTGCATTTCTTCCTATAGCTTGTTGCACAATAAGAACAAAGAAAACCTTTTCTTGTTTTTAAAGGTGGCAGAAACAGGAAAACCGTATGTTTTGCTTCTATCATTTACAGTTCACCAGACGATTAACTGTAGAACAACAAAATGTTGCAACCACTGTAGCTTATGTCACACAGGCAAAACAAAACAACAGCAACACCAAGGCAAAGGAGGCTTTTTATTAGAGGACGGGGACAGCAAAATGCTTTATATAACTCAAAAGAGGCATCATAAAAATTTTCATATTTTCTCTCCGCTGCTGCCAGACGATCCATAAACTTTTCATTACATATCACTACAGATTTCGGCACCTTAAGTAATATCTGAATGTCCAACCCAAAAACAAAAGAGGAAAATCCTTTTTCTGCTTAAAAACATCTGCCTAAATCCTGACAACTGTTCTTGGACAAGCTGCGAGAAAAAGTTATGCCCATGCATTCAGCTTGAGGTTGGGCGACTGGATGAATCTATTGATCAACGACAATCTTTTTTTTCTAAGGTATTTTTTGCACCTTTTTTGCTAAACAGAAGAAGAGAGAGGCAGCGTTTTGTTTTTTTCTTCTTTTTTAAGTGTGTTTACAGAACGTTCTGTCTGTTACAGATTTGATTTTAACACAGCAGATACAAAAAAGTGAAGCTGTGTACTTTACATAAAATAATATATAAAAATAATACTAAAAATCTCCACCCCAGTTTTCAGTCTGTTTGATTTTGTGTATTCAGATAAACAAATCAATACCGATTAGAAAACTAATGTCTCAGAACATAGAACAACTGGAAAGGAGGAAACTATTCTCACTGGACGAAACTTACACATTTTATGACAGAAAAACAAGCATGTTTACCTTATTGGGTTTTAACAGTGTGCACAGTTGGTTAACAATAGTACTAGTGGTGCAGAAGACGAATATATCGTTCATCGCCATTTGTTGGACCGACAGACATCGGTGGAAAATGTTTTTCATATCGCTTAACCTTAGCACCCATATAAGCTCTGTCCATGGTGATGGCTGATTTTGATCAGTGTACCACAAGGGTAAGTGATTTCTGTCTGGGTTGAAGGATATCAACACTTTAATTTCTTTCTGGGTGACCAAATTTAAAGCAGCTGAGGATCAGATATCGCCACACCTCATCATCTTATCAGGTCATGTTTACAGAAAGAAAGCAGTGGAATACAAACAACCAAAAAGCTACCACACCAAAAGTTGGTGTGGTTAAGATGTTTTTAATAAATATCCAAACAAGCCTCTCCTGTTGTAGTGTCTTGTTTTTACCCCCCACACAAGATTATTGGCCCAGAGAAAAATCTGATCCGAGATTACCAGTTTACCAGCCAATTTTAAACCTTCTTTCATATGTTTTAATTTAAGATGGGCTTTTTTTTCATATTGATTTTTAAAGACTTTGTTGGATTATTGTGCAACAACCAAGGGTCATATTGCACCTAGAAAAGACTATAAAAAAGGGTCTATATTCATAACCTGGCAGTAGCCAGATTGATATGTGTAGAACTGAGTTGAGTTGAGTTCTACGTTATCAATCTGGGATGGCTGCCGTTCAGTCTGTCCATAAAAGGAGGGACCTTTAGTACAATACTTAAAGCTGATTGGGTGACGTGCCAGCTAGTAGCTTCCTTCCATAATTTTCACGACCATAAGACGCACCGTACTAAAAGACGCAGTCTCAGTTATGTGTGCCATTTCTGTATTTAACACACAGATAAGGTGCACCGGATTTTAGGGCACGGGTTTTATATACCGATACACATGCTCTACTATATTTAAATACCTCTACTGCGTATTTAAAAATAGAGCGGGAGCAAAACTGAGTATGTTTGTGCTTTATTCATGTGTTTATTACAAAGTGTTAATCAAACCCATCAAAGTCATCATCCTCTGTTTCTGAATTAAACAGCTGCACTAACATGCCAATTTCCCCTTCTTTGCTGTCAGAGTCACTTTCCGTGCCGCGCGGCTTCTCGGAAATGATGCCGGCTTTTGCCAAAGCTTGAACAACAGTGCCAGCAGACACGTTAGCCCAAGCATCTACAATCCATCCGCAAACTGTGGCGTAACATGCCCAGCGCTGCCTTCCACTTTTCCTGAAACTGTGGTCTCCATCGGTCATCCATCGCTCCCACGCCGCTCGCAGCCTTACTTTGAACGGCCGGTTCACACCGATGTCGAGCGGTTGAAGTTCCTTTGTCAGACCCCCAGGGATAACAGCGAGCACAGCGTTCAATTGTTTCAACTCGTTTTTCACATCGGCTGTAAGATGGGCACGCATGGAGTCACAGATTAACAGCGATGATGATGCGTGAAAAAAACCACCTGGTCTCTTCACATTCACCTCCCTCAGCCACTCTTTCATCATCTCCTCATCCATCCAGCCCTTTTCATTTGCCTTAATAACGACTCCAGCTGGAAAAATCTCTTTAGGCAAAGTCTTTCTCTTAAAAATCACCATAGGCGGCAGTTTCTGTCCATTTGCGTGGCAGCCAATCCACGCCCACACTTCCCACTTTAACATTCTCATGGCGGTCTCAACAACGTCCGCAGTAACAACACACATAGGGCGCACCGCACTATAGGGCGCGCCGCACATTTTGAGGGAAAAAAAGACTTATAGTCGCGAAAATACGGTAACCTTTTTTTAAAAAGCAAACAAAAGCAGTGATATACAATTTTGTTACATAATGCTGCGCTACTTTAACTAAACCAGAATCATGGTATAAACCTAAAGAGAATGAGATGCATTTCAGTTTTCTCCAGCTTTGAGATGTCAGGAGAAATAATCCTACCAAGGTGTCTGGTGGCGCATCGTGGCCAAAAAGAGTTCAGAAAGAGAGAAAACATAAGCACACCATAAGGTACCTTTGTTGCTGTCGGTTGTGCCATCTTTGGTTTTTCTATTTTGATTGTGCGACTTTTCAATTTCCTGGAAGAGAAAATAAAAGAAACAAAATAAAGCTAATTTGGACACAGACTGTGTGAAGGCATTAATTTAACAGACTTGATCAAAACAAAGAAATAGGAAACATGTTTGAACAGCACAAACTGAACACTTTGATTCTGGGAGCATTATGCTTTTGCTAGGACAGATAAAGAAATCCTTGGTGCAGACTCACGTTAATGCGGTGGAAGTTGACACTCCAGTTGGCTCCCGCCCGGGAGGGAATGAAGCGATCGCCGTGCTTGCTGGGAGAGGACAGGGGGGAGCTGGTGGGTGTCAGAGATCGCACTGCTCCCACAGCTTTCTACACGAGGGAAGAGAGAAGACGCCATTTTCTGACTGGAGGCCAAACATAAACCGCTCTTGGACACAGACTTGAAATCTTAATAACAAAACAGGAGGATAATTTATGGGGCAGATGGTGCATTCATTTAAGGTGTTAGCGACAGGAGGCAACATTTACAAAAGCCAATCATTTGGCCAACGAGGCCCTGTTTTAGCTCAACCCTGGTAACAATGTCAAATAACTAGTCTGTTAGACATTTCATTTTCACACAGATGGACAGTTACAACCTCTTCTCTCACTCGTGTGCCAGTTTGCGATCATTTTTTTGGGAAATTGTCAATATTGTTCAATGATGATGATGAATTAAACATACTAGTTAAGACAGATGGCACAACTTTTGGCGCCTGGTGCTGCTGTCTTCTCGGCTGTCGCCAGCTGCCCTTTACATTCTCAGGACTGGGGATTAGACCGAAATTAAGATCTAATGTTCTTTTTGACAAACATAAACTTTATAAATGCTAATATATCGAACATGAATGTACTAAAAGTAACAGGAGGCCACTAAACCAATACCATGCATCATTAAAGACACATTTTGGAAAAAAAATCTGTAGAATTTTCTATAGTTTAACTAAACTCGGATCCAGAAGTACACAGCATTCTGGGGAATGTAGGCAGAGGAAGAGATTCATCCTCTCAACCTCTCGTGGCCATTTTAAGCAAACCAACGGTAGGCCTGACCTCCTTCTTAAGTTAAAAGTTACATTTCAATAGTGTAACAATTTATATTCAACCTTTTCCCCCTGGTACTTATCTTATATAAATATAACTAGGGCTGGCCAATTAGGTAGACTATACAATGCACTTCTCAAATCACAGAGGCACTCTGTTTTGTTCACATTACATTTTAAAGTACTAAGACACTTTCTTTCTTACTCCAGCTTTAGGTGGTGCTCACACGCTTAAAGGGGAACACCGTTTTTTTTTTTTACATTGGTCCCTTGATTTTACGTTATTACATCATGTTCTACTCACCCATATAAGTTTTGTGTCATTTGTAGCTTTTCCGAAGTTATTCGGTTTTATTATATCCAGGTAACGTCTTCCTATGGGCAACAACTTGAAGGCACAAACTAAACTGTTCCTAATTTATTCTCTATGGTACACCAGCATTCATAACATGTAGGCGAATCACTGTCCCCCAGACAGCTGCTGTTATATTTTTTATATTTAGATTTTTTAAAACAAAGCAGAGTGTGTATGATGTCATCCGTGTGCGTCGGCTACCATTCATTCTTCCTGTCCAGTGAACTGCTGCTAGTTTTACTCACATGCCTGGAAGATGTCTAGTGCTACTACCACAGATGATCTCGCTCTCGAAATGCAATTGAACGACTCAGATTAGCTAGCCAAATGAATAGAAAGAGTTGAGCATAGCCGCCTGTGGCCCGGGCTGCCTGTCACAACTCCAGTCCGGCGCACGGATGACGTCATACACACTTTGCTTTGCTTTTAAAAAAATATAAATATAAAAAATATAAGTGCGGATGTCTGGGGGACAGTGATTCACCTACATGTTTCTTGGATATTACAAAACCCAATATCTTCCGAACAGCTCCAAATGACACAAAACTAATATGGGTGAGTAGAACATGATGTAATAACGTAAAATCAAGGGGCCAATGTAAAAAAAACGGCGTTCCCCTTTAAAATGGGTTTGTCAATACAGAGTGGAAAAGAGAGTTGCTAGCTAGCATGTAAGAAGTTGGATTCAGGGCAAGAAAGATTCTTAGGTCATAAAAACAACATAGTCTACATTCTTGTCGCTAGTTCAGAGAAAAATCTGATTACGTTCCAATAGTAATACTGGCAGAAGAAAAAAAAAAAAAAGGATTTTTGGCAAAACTATTACATTCTAGATAAGACCAAATTACCGTGATAAAATAAATTTGATAGATATGAAGAGTTTAGTGTAATACATTTCCCGGCCATATTGCACAGTCCTGCTTTAGAATATGTGAATATGATTAGAAATAGAGGCCTCTGGGTTTGTGTACGGACCATTACTACAGTATATTTGCATGTTCTCTGGAAACTTTTGGGTTTGTCCTGGTACTTCCTCCCCTGGTTCAAAACATAGATGTTAGAGAAATTAACAGTGGCCAATTGTTTTATTGCAGGATGCGTACACATGGTTGTCATGTGTGTCACTTGCCCATTTAATCATGAAAACAGACACCAGCCTCCTATGACCCCATAAGGATCAAGCAGGGTTAAAAAATAGACAGCTACTAACATTAAACTGTTCTCATCTTTAAATCCACAAAAAGAGCTATACTGTAATCAAACCTATAAAAACAAATAAGTTTACATTTTTACAGAGAACCGACCTACAAAGTTTTCTTGAAACAAAAAGCTTTTCGAATTGAGTTTGCTAACATGACCCTAAGGAGGGTTCTCGGTAAGGCACCGTGCTGGTTGATAACTGATCAAATATAAATTACTGCTGGATCAACTTGTTTGGTTGCCATTTTTAAGGTAGAGTCCAACTATTGTACTACAGCAAATACATAAAAGCTTTCAGTTATGTTGACGACGACTTCCTGATGACCAAACAACTGAACATCAGGTTGATGTTCAAAGGAGGGCTGAGTCATTTTCATCTGGGCTAGACAGTCTTGTAATTCAGAAACTGCTAAGCAAGATTTTTTTATGGACTTTTTTTTTTTAAATAAAAAAATAACCTAAAATGTAAGCCTTTTGTTAGCATGAAAGCCCAAATAAAGATAAATCAAATCAAAATAATTTAGCTGCAGCATCTCTGGAGTTTAAGCTTTGAGCAGTAGAAGAAGACCTTACTTATCTCTAATCGTACCTTCTGCTGATATGAAAATAACCCAGTACCAGTGGTGACAAAGCAATAATGGAGAGGTTTGAAACTTGTTGGTGTGGAGTAGAGCCAGTCCATAAAGGTGGAAAGGGTCACATGAAAACCAGCTGAGTTTCTCCAAACCAAATGTTATGCTCGTGGAAATTAATAAAGCATAACAATTTACTGATTTAGCAGTGAGATCCAATACTTTTGGTTTTATAGCTTAAATAATCTAAATATAAAAATCTGGTTAGAAATATGAGGGTTGACATCCTGTCATCCCAGTAAAGGTTATTCTGTTCTTTATGGGGTGATAGAAAAAGTGTCATCTGTTGTTAAAATATAAATAAAAAATTACTTTAATGCTGTGAAAAGCAAATCAATCAGAGCCTTGCTATCATTTGATTGATGCTGTTGTCCATTCCTACCAGAAAAAAACCTTTTGGGTTTAATAAAAGCAGTCTTCATTCAAGTCTTTGATTATTGTTGATAACTGTGTTTTTTTTCCCCCACTGTTTACTTATCTCCAGTTAACTATGTCCAGTGGATTTAATACACCCTGTTACCAATCTCACACGTTTCTTAAACCTGACAATGATTTCAGTTTACTCTAACACCCTTAAAAGTCTTCAGATCTGAATTCATGAAATCAAACTTGGTGTGTAGTAAAAAAAGAGACGTGCAGCTGACAAATCTGTGTGATGTTGTTATGCAATCATGAAAAGAAACCTCTCAATATTTAACACCTTGTTAAGACTAAGCCACTAAGAAACAAGGCATTTCTCAGGTCAGAAAAGGGTCAAGCCTGGCCAATCAAGAGGGTACTTGGTGTGTTTTTCAAAAACCTGAACCTCTGCTCTCGTTTTATCTTTATATAAGCTTTAAATCAGCCAGCTTTTGCCTTACATCTGAGGCTTGATTAAACTCAACATCAAATCTGCAATTACAGGTCAGCATCAGTTTTTCCTGTAACTTTGCCTAATGAAAACAGGAGCAACATGACTCCTTAAATAAAAGCATGCATGCCCTGCAGGAAAGTGGCTCATTCTGCTCTATGTGCACTTCAAAATATCTGACAACTTAAAAATGACTTTGCTCTGATGTTAGTAGACGCCAACAATTTTTTAAGTGTAGATGCCAGATGAGCTAAATGTAATTAGGTTTCTCTTATTATGGCTCGTAAATCCTCAATGTTACAAACATTTAAGAAAAATAAAATAGTACGTTGTTACAGAATTTACGATACTTTAATTTTTAACTGAAAGGAGAAACTGATTGCAATGTATTAAAAGACATTATAATGTTTTTTCTACACAACAAAAAAAGGTAGAAAAAATATTTAGTTGAGCTGAGCAATAAGACGCAAACTGCCTCATAGCAATGACATTCGGTGCAATAGAAAACCCACAAAAGCCTGTTTTTGGAGGCAATATTGGTTGGCAAGTAAAGTGCCAAGAATTAATGCATTGCAGTAATGCCATCAGTCTGTTTAGTGGAATCTCACTCTAGTAAATTCCCAAACCCGATAGAGATAACAGTGCATAAGTTTCCGAATGCCAAAAAATAGTTGAAGCTATCCATGTGACAGCTGAGACAGAGCAATGCAGAAAATCTAGGAAAATCACAAATGGTTCTTTATTAATAATATTAGCATCGGGAAAATATTAGGCAACCCGTGTCTAGAAGTATCTCACTGCGTAAACAATGATGCCATGTACTGCAAAAGTTTAACAAAATAAAAGCAGATGACATAAGAATACACATGACATTTCAATACACATACTTAATCCTGAATTATGATCAATTTGTGAGAAGTGTAGCTTTAAATTATTTTCTCTCTTTTTTTAACAAATTAAAATCGTAAATAACATTGCTGGAGATCGGGAAGCAAAAACAGGAAAGGTAGGGGAGTTGTATACTTACTATGGGGCTTGCATTCTCATTTTGGATATTAATTTGTCTGAGCAGCCTGCACTCATAGTCCTGATCCATCATACCTTTAAAAAGCAAAACAAAACAAAATAGACAATGGCAACAGCTTTTAGGATGTCAATAAAAAGCACGATTGGGACATTTTTCTAACAATCTTGCAGTCTAAAGACAGTAGTAACAATTTATCTTTCTTAATATTACAATGTTGACACACTAAAAAGCACATGCATTATGTATTTGATATATAAACCCCATGATCTTAAGGAAAACATCATTAAATAATAACAGACAGAAGATAATCAGCTTAGGAATTAACTTGGTCACAGAAATTATATATATAAAAAACGATTTAGTAAATGACAGTTTCAACTAAAAAAAAAAAGTTGTACCTTAGATTAATCTGACGGTAAACTGGAATTAAAAGTAGCCTTAAATGCAGTTTATCTGACATTGAGTTTCCTCTATACAGATGCTATTAGGGCAATGTATCTACTTGCCACCACATCCCTATGAACTTAGCTCTAAAGCAGTAAACTAACGTAAGGAATTTGCCTGGACTCGCCACTACAAGCAGCAAATAACTCGGTTCTTTATTGATATTTAATAGCAGCGGTTAAATGTACAAAAAGAAAACAATTTAATCACCTAGCGTAGAGGGCTAAGCTAAGCTAATGTTAGCTGTGCGGCTAATGCTTTGTCAACATTATTTGTGAACAATCCCTGATTGCGATAACTCCTACCTCTCTCCGATACGCTCTCCCTCTGTGGTGCCGTTGAACTCAGTCTGTTCTGGAGTTTCAAACTCTAATGCAAGGTCTTATTTTAGGCCCTTAAAACACCGATTTAACAAATTACAAATGTATTTTTTAACCGAGTATTCAATTCGGGCTCGCAAAGTACCACGGGAAGGGCGTGATGTCACAGATTTTGAATCGTACATTTCCTGTTGCTAGGGAAACGCATTTCTCTTGTCGATTCTGTTGTACTTGTGATAAAATAAACTTCTGCAGGTCTTTGGGTATGTGACTACAAAAGATGATTAGGGCCACTGAAAAAATAAAAAAAGTTAACTGATTTTTTAATTTTATTTCAGTATAACATGAGAAAAAAGTCAGAATTTTGACTTTTTTCTCAGAATTCGGACTTTAATCTCAGAATCCTGTATTTAATCTCAGAATC